ACTAAAGCTGTTGTTTGTCTGAAACTAACAAACTATTTGCATGTTAAACTAATTAACTAACTAACTGATTAACAGACTATTTGCATGTTAAACTATATGCAGTACGCATTACCTATTTAAAGTATCGGCTCTTTATGGGTATTTTACTTTCAAACATTTAATTTATGATAAAAACATCAATGTTTGTAAGTAAAATTCAAAAAGTGTTACAGTAATATTCTTACAAAAAGAGAGGGGTATAGGGCCATAAATTAAATATTTGAAAGTAAGAATATTGATCTTTTTTGTAACACTTTTTGAATTTTACTTACAAATATTGATATTTTTATCATAAATTAAATGTTTGAAAGTAAAATACCCATAAAGAGCCGATACTTTAAATAGGTAATGCGTACTGCATATAGTTTAACATGCAAATAGTCTATTAATCAGTTAGTTAGTTAATTAGTTAAGCAGTTAATTAATTTAACATGCAAATAGTTTGTTAGTTTCAGACAAACAACAGTTTTAGTTAATTAGTTAATTAGATAATTAGTAAATTAGATAAATAGAAATTAGTTAATTAGTTAATTAATTAATTAGATAATTAGTTAGTTAATTAGTTAAGCAATTAATTAGTTAATTAGTTTAACATGCAAATAGTTTATTAGTTTCGGATAGACAACAGTTTTAGTTAATTAGATAATTAGACAATTAGTTAATTAGATAAACAAAAATTAGTTAATTAGTTAATTAATTAGATAATTAGTTAGTTAATTAGTTAAGCAGTTAATTAGTTAATTAGTTTAACATGCAAATAGTTTGTTAGTTTTGGACAGACAACAGCTTTAGTTAATTAGATAATTATTTAATTAGTTAATTAGATAAATAGAAATTAATTAATTAGTTAATTAGTTAATAGTTAATTAGATAATTAGTTAATAGTTAATTAGTTTAACTATGCAGAAATAGTTTGATTAGTTAATAACTATTAACAATTAGATAATTAGTTATTAGTTTAACTATGAAGAAATAGTTTGATTAGTTAATTAGTTAATTAGATAATTAATTAATTAGATAATTAGTTAATTAGATAATTAATTAATTAGTTAATTAGTTAATTAGATAAAATAGAAATTAGTTAATTAGATAATTAGTTAATTAGTTAATTAATTTAACTATGCAGAAATAGTTTGATTAGTTTAATTTGTTTAACAAATTAAACATTGGTTTTGATGAAAGTACTCAAATCTTTCATCTGGTAAAGTCAAATCCAATAGGGGTGCTCTAGTAATTTCACACACTTTTACCTTTTAAATTAGTTACAACTTTTTCTAGGGGAGGTTAATGCAATTTCAAAATTGATAGGGGAGGTCAGTGCAAATGTCAGAAATCTCAGGGGAGGTTTCTGCAATTATCCCTTTTATCAAACTCAAAGTAGCTAGGCCCATTGCTGATTGACAGATAGAACTTCAATTTCCAACATCAACTTTGTTTAGCTTTTCTTTCATCATTCTTTTCTTGAGTTTCAAAGTGATTGAGTTCAAGAGTTGTAGAGCTCTATATCTCCCTTAAAGGGATAGGTAGTCATATCAAAATTATGTATTTTTGTTGGTATCTTCCAACAAAAATAAAAATACCATTCTGGAACTTATTTGGACTTACTCTTTCTTTGCTGTTCGGTAATTATGCTTGGTAGTACTCTGAGATTAAAAAATTTACAAGTAAATTTTTTACACCAATAATTTATACCAATAATAAGTTAGATTGAATTCCTAAGAGAAGAAATTTGACCTACAAATCATGTAAAACAAAGAGATATTTGCATACTAATTTGAGAAGAGAATGAAAACAATTGGTTCATTTGGATGGTGAATTTTTTGGTGTTTGTATAAAATTTTACTGTAACTTATTGTATAATTTATGAAAATTCTTATGTATATGAGGATCTGAAAAAATAAACTAAAAATTTATTTCTTTTCTTTTCTTTTTCTCTTCTTTTTCTTTCATTTCTTCCCATTTCTTTCCTCTCTTTTGCTTCCCTACCACCATTGCCACTCCAACCTTAGATCTCAGCTGTCGACAGCTTTTTCCTTTTTCCCCCTTTTCTCTCCCTCTCTCTCCTCCTCCTTCTCCTCCTTATTCCCCCTTCCCTATCACTTCTCATCCTCTCTCTTCCCCTTCTCCTCTTCCACCCCGTCGTTACCCCCCTCGCCTCCTTCCTCTGCTAGATTTGAACCAACCTCCTCCTTTTTCAGAGCTAGAGAAGGGATAGGAGAAGGGGAAGGAGGTGAGGAGGAGGAGGAGGAGGAGCCAAAGGGTGGTGAGAGAGGAAGGAAAGAAGGAGGGGGTAAGAAGAGAAGAGGAGGGATGGAAGAGAAGAGAGAGAGAGAAAGAAAGAGAGGGAAAAGGAATGTGCAAAATGATCGTAGGAATGGTAATGAAAACGAATATCCGTGGATACCCACTTCCGAGGGAAGGTAGGGCACCGGGGGTGAGGTGAGAATGGGGGAAAACTTTTCTTCGCCAACCTTAAATGGAGTGAGTGGCATGAAAGCATAACCCCGCCCCCTCGCCCGTATTAATTAAATATTATTATTATTAGTAGTAATAGTAACAATGATAACATTAGTCGAATCTAATAATAAAGAGACTACTATAATTAAATTTTCTTCTATGGTTTTCCTCATTTCTTATCTTTCTTGTCAAGTTATTTCTCGTAGTTCTAATGCTTTAATCTTGAAGTTCTGATTCATCCCATTGGTATACTTGCAGATTTTTTCCCCACATATTCAACGTGGATTCTAGGTTGCTTTTTGAAAGATAATTGAATGTGCTTAGTCCCCTGGGGATTGGTCTGCCCTTAAGGGCTATTTTTAGCACTTATGTGGAAGTGAAGATGAATAGTCGACTTTGCCTACTTGACTCGAGTGATAACTTTCTTCTATTAGAGACAGAACTGTGCACTCTTTAGGCGGAGCTTTCTCAATCTACTAATTCACTTGGGAAGATACATTTTGAGGGAAGCCTAAGTGGATTGAATCCAAGCCCATTCTTAAAAAAAAAAAAAAGTGCCCACATGTTCCTGCAGGAAGAGGGGACGAGGAATGAGACGGGGATAGGGGGAGTTAGGGGTGAAATCGAGCCGAGTCGAGCTCGAGCAGTGACGCACTCGAGCTCGAGCTCGACAACCAAAGATCGAGATCGACTCGATGAGAGTGTATGCAGACTCGAACTCGACTTGATCGAGCTCGACATGTCATTCGAGCTCGATATCAAGTCGAGTACTCGAGCTCGAATTGATCCTGGTTCCTGCGCAAATCTAAAGAATCTAGTCTTTGTATCTTAAATGCAACACTACTAATTTGTACTAAACAATAAACTAAGTTGCACTAATCATTCGAATGAAAGTACATTAATATCAATTCAAAGAAACAAAACTTAGAAGCCAATTAAAGTCTTGGAGCCACATGGACAAAACTTAGAAGCATGCCATTGCATACAGAGGACAGACAACCTTCGGCAGAGGTTTCAAACCTTCAACAAGCTTGGGGAATCAGATGCAACCTTCCACTGCACTCTGCCCAGCAACACGCAGACAGGGGAGACAGCAACCATAGCAATGATAGCAACTGTGATGAATTGATCCAAACCAACCATAGCAACTGTGTTACCCCATGGCACATCCTCAACTGTTTCCTGCTTCTTACCTATCCAAATAACTATTCTTTAGACATTCTTAAGTCTTAACATTATAACATACAAGTCCTTTTTCTCTCCCGGAACATAGTTGGGACCCATGATTCTAACCTTCATGCCAGTGGCACTTTTTCCAGAAAACACACGGCCAAAAGTAAAGAAAACACACAGACACACACATCCTCAATACAATCAACCACCACCAATGCACCATCAGTAATACGAAGGGCAGCAGTCACCTCAGATGAGAAATCAACATGCCCAGGGGAATCTTCATGCCAGTGGCAATTTTTCCAGAAAACATACAGTCAAAAGCAAAGAAAACACACGAACACACACCCTCAATACAATCAACCAGCACCAATGCACCATCAGTAATACGAAGGGCAGCAGTCACCTCAGATGAGAAATCAACATGCCAGGGGAATCAATAAGATTAATAAGGATTGAAGATTCAAGAATTCTAGCTTCCAAAATTCAGAAATTCCGCAAACGAGAAACCAATGACAAACAAAAGAACAAACACAATGGCTAAAGAAACACCATACGCATGCAGAAACTAAGTGGCCATGATCCACATTAACATTTCAGCATTAAACATAAGCAACAACCTGTTCTCAAACTCATCAGAATTTCACGAAAATACAAAAAGGAGTGCTGCAGCCAATTGAAAGGAAGAACTTAGGGAAATTTTCTGGAGTCTAATGAGCATTTAGAAGCTCTTGTTTGTAATCTGGTAAATGAAACAGCTTGTTTGCTCCTTATGCATCTTCAAACTTCGGTGTACAATCTACAACACCTAGCCATACACAAATGACAAATCAACCAACTTATGTACAATTTAAATTTAAAATTTGAACACAACTTATGGCAAATTAAGAATAAGAAAATGAGAATTCACAAAAAGATGGACCTGATTTTCAGCAAAGTACTAGCTCCTTACACAACTTCAAGCATTGGGCAGCTCATATTCTTTGAGAGCTTTCTGTGGCTGCATTTAGGCAGTGGAAATGCAAATAATGTAATACTTTAAAATCAATAAACAAACTAATAAATACTAATTTATCTCTGCAATAACAAATTCATATAGATATAACTTACTTTCAATTTCTTTTTGACCCCGTGTAAATTTCTACACCAATCGCCTGCACACATTAACGTCTGGACTGTCTCCGGAGCAAGTGAAGCACGGTATGAATCAATCACCCTAGTTCCAGCACTAAAGGTGGCCTCAGATGCGACGGTAGTGATAGGAATGGCCAATACATCAGCCGCTAACTGAGAGAGTACCGGGTATGCTGATCGGTTGATTTTCCACCAATCTAAACAGTTGAAATCCTTCGGATTTTGTCCAGGAAGTTGGCGAGGCTTGTCTAGGTAATCCACCAACTCGCTCTTATGGGGTTCATCGGATTCGAGTTCACCACAATACTCATCCAAATCATCCCAATAGTCAGCACTTGCTCGAGGTGGACACACTATTTCGGATGTAGGATTTAATGAACAACCTGTCCCTGCACTTCCACTTGTAGCCATAGCAACGTACTCGTCATAAAGCTCAAAGATGGCTTTTCGAACATATGTGATATTCTCTTGAGCTTCATATGCCGAATACATCTTAGGGAAGGCAAACTCTATTGCTCGCATTTTCTGTCTGGGATCCAAGATAGCTGCAATGGACATCAATAAATTACACTCTTTCCAGTATTTGTCAAACTTGAGCTTCATTCTTGTAATCATACCCCGGACAAAATCATCTTCATCATTCACTCGTGCATCCAAGAGTTTTTTCACCTTTAGAATCTCAGGGAGGAATAGATTGCTAGTTGGATACTCACTCCCCGAAATTATGTGTGTGGCTGTGTAGAACTTCTCTAAAATGGTGCAAACTTTCTCAACCTTCTCCCAATCCTCTGAAGATGGACAAGACTCATAAAGGGGCTCTCGAACTTGAAAACGAGGAAAAACCTCTTTATATTTTATAGCACAATTCAACATTTCATATGTTGAATTCCATCTCGTCCTACAATCATGGAGCAATTTTTTTCCAGGAATTTGTAGGTGTTGAGCAATTTCTGCAAAAAGCAATGCCCTACCATCAGACTTGTTCACAATATCCACACTATCTCGGATATTTTCACAAATATCTACTATATCCTTCAAGCCATCTTAAACCATAAGGTTCAAGATATGGGCGCAACAACGAACATGAAACAGTTTCCTCCACCCAAAAGCTTCTTGCATCTCCCGAAATCATCTTTCAACAATCTCACGGTCACATCATTGTTTGAGGCATTGTCCACAGAAATAGTGTGAATTTTTCCCTCAATTCCCCATTCCTTTGCACACTTGAAAACTGCATTCGAAATCTCAACTCCTCGACGTGGTGGTCGAATATGAACAAAATTTAACACTCTCTTCTGAAGCTTCCAATTTCCATCAATCCAATGTCCGGTCACCACCATGTATTCAATTTTTTGATTCTTTGATTTCCACATATCGGTGGTCAAGCTAACTTTTTGTACATGCCTCAACAAGTTCTTCAACTTCTTTTTCTCTATCTCGTACACCTGTGTACAATCTTTTTTAGCTGTCATGCGTGAAATCTTTTGCCACTCCGGCCAGCCGCGTTTCATCATTATGTTGAACCCCTCTTCCTCCAAAATTGTGAAAGCATGCTCGTGCATCAAGATCCAATGTGCAACAGCCTCTCTCATTGATTCCATATCGAATTTGCCAGTGTGCAATGATGGTACAGTTGGAAAACGCTCATTCGCTTGCTGAAAGTTTATCTTTGTTTGCTACTCGGCCTTTCTAAGCTTGCCTTTTCTAACGAAACAGTTTTCTCGATGCCTCCACATACTGCTGGTTTGTTTAGTTTTTCCCCGATTCAGTTTCTTACTACAATGTTTACAAATGGCATAATATATGCCATTTTCTTCCAAATCATCGAAGTCTTCCCATGCCTCAGATGTTTTATTCCTTTTAGGCACTCGAAATTTACCATCATCTTCAGCTTCATCTCCTTGCTGCCTATTGGTGTCTTCAGTTCCCTCTTGTTGTGTTTCACCACCCTCTTGTGTGGGATCACAGGCATCACGGCTTACAAATACTGGGCTGTTAATCATGACTGGTGTGGATGAATCGGTCCCAGACACATGTGGTATTGAAGAAACCTCGGGAGGACTAATAGACATGCCTTTAATAGAAAAATAAACATTTACATTAAAATGAGTTACACTTCAAATATTTTGGCACGGAGCATTAAATTCAAGTCAAACAGACATTAGAAGAAATAGAAAATGACACACAAGCACCCAAATCTGGAAAACAGCTTCCAAAAAACATTCATATCAGGGCTAAAGTTCATAGCAAATTCAGATCTGATGTTGAGAAGAAGAAAACATAAAAAAGAGTTATGGATTCTGTTAAGGAAATTTAGATCTGAACTTAGCAAATTGAAACTCAAAATGTTAAGGGCTGGCTGACATTAAACTTAAATGCATTTATTATTATTGGTAAGAGAAAGAAGTTGACGCCTCGCTAATCCCTATCATCAAGGCTTCAACAACTGCTGATAAATATTGAAAGCATCCATCATGGCTTTTATAGTTTATGGTTAGATGCATAAATTTTCTAAGTAGTAGTCCTCTGCCATTTTGCCAACCTCCTTGTTGACTATCCTTTGCCTGATTTATTGGAGTACTAATATGAAGAGCTGAAAGATGGAGCTTGGCTACTTTTCAGTCCTATATATAGATCGGCATGGGAATAAGTTGACGATTCAAACCAGCAGGAAAAAGGAGCAAAAGAAATCCAAAGACATATCAACACACAATACTTTTGGTAAGAAAGATAGATAAGCTGAGAGGCAGATCAACATATATAACGAGAAGAATTTGTATGAAACTTCAAGCACTACTGTAGCAATAAAGCCTGAAAGTTTTGATAAGATTTCATATATATTCGGCTGGGAATCATAAAGGGGGCTATTAGAAGCTTTGATATGTCTTCAGATTGAGAAACTTTTGTACTTTATGACGTATCCCCTTTTCTACAGTTTCCTATTCCATGCAGTGTTTTGTTTTCCAGGAAAGGTTAGTTTTAGTTCCGATTGAGAAACTCTTGTTTTGATGCTGTTATTGACCCAAGTAAAAGATCTTTTAGTTTAACTGCATAAGCTAGCATCAAAATTATTCTCCAGAGAACATAACTGAATATTCTCATTAATCTCATTAATATACTAGCTAATTAACACTTAATAATCCAACTTAAAGCAAATTTCTGAAATCAGTGCATTTTCACATCAAAGAAAAACCTATAAACATGTTAGAGCCAATGTCAAGAAACTTACCAATTCTTGGAGCTGTGGCGCCAACCACCGAATCACTTGTTGAAGGAATCGAGCTGCCCTCCATCTCCTCAAAATTCCAGTACAGCAATGGAGAAGGAATGGGATACGGAAATTGAATGTAATATTGAATCGCAGGCTGCAGCCCCCAATTTTTTTGGTTAGGATTTGGAGATTAAAAATTAATATTACATTTATAAAATTTAACCTCATAATGCACATAATTACTACACAAATGCACAATAAGTACCTTAATTTGTCAAATGCAGCTGTTGAAATTGATGGGTTTTGATTTGATTTGAAACCCCCACTCAAAGGTCGGCTGCTCAGTGCTCACGCTGCTACCTACTCCATGTTGAGCTAAACTGTTGAAGTGTTTAAAGCCTTAGATGATCGACTGCCTTGTGAGTTGTGAGTTGTGACAATTGAGGAGATGAGCCAAAGAATAAGAGATTGAGATTTGAGAGAGGCTGAAGAGGAAGGAACGGCCGAACGAAGAAGAAGAAAGAACTGTGAAGGATGAATTCGACGAAAGCTTTTTCATTTTTCGTTTTTAGTTTTCCTCATTTCATCAGAATTCTCGAGCCAAAATTACTTATTCACCCTTGTTTACTAATTGGCAGGGAACTGCTTAAGCCCGTAAATATTATAGCTAACAAACCTAAAAGAGTAAATTGATATATAAACTAAAATACAATATATATGTGCTACCGAGCTCGAGCTACTCGTCGAGCTCGAATTTCTGATTCCTAAATACTCGAGATCGGCTCGTTTACTGTAGCAAGTAGATCGAGATTGACTCGAACTCGAATTTGCTCGAGATCGATTCGAGTAGCTAATCAAGCTACTCGCGAGCTCGATTCAAGCTACTCGAATTCTCTGCACCCCTAGGGGGAGTTGTATGACAATGCTCTCTCCTCAAACCTACTCTGTTGCCATCCCTAGGTGATCAGCACCAGCGACAGAGCAATGACAGTGGACTAAGGTGAGGCGATGGTGGAGGAAGTACAAATGGTTAGGAATGGTGGTGGCAGAAGAGGGATTAGGTGTGTATTAGATATTTTGAAGTATGTATTTTAAAAATTTGGTGTGTTTTTTAAGGGTTCCTGTGGGTAAAATTGTTGAAAATTTTGTCTAATAAAAATAAGGAAAAAAAGGGGTGCCAAACAAGTCCAATATTACAAAGCTGTTTTAGGTTCTTTGATCACAAAGAAATCAAAATAAAGTGGTAAAATTTAGGAAGAGAGTGTGCGTGGGAGAGAGAAAGATATAGAACTCTGTGGGCACCATTTTACTGGATTTAAGTTTTCGATTCGGGAAAAGTTCTTATTTTTTTTGGTCTTCATAATTCTTAAAAATATTGGCAATTGTCATTTTCATTTTCTGTTTAGGTGGAATGTGATTTGACAAGTGGGACATTTAGCTAGCCAAGTGGAGCTCTCTTACTAGTTTTGGATCAATTACTAAGCATGACTAAGTAGTTGATCATGACTAGCATAAAATTTCTCAATTGAGAAAGAAGGTCTGAACCACGTTATACTATAGATTTTGTTTCAAAAAATCCAGGCAGGTGCGTAGTGCACTCGTTTGGTCCAATGGTAGTTCAGTCCCCTCTGAGTTACTTCTGGACCTCCTTAGATCCACCCCTTCCTTCTAGTATAGGATATATTAGGATATATTACAATTGTCGTCTCCCAAAAAAAAAAAAGGAAAGAAGGTCTGAACCCAAACCAGGTTTGGATACCCAACAAATATCATTGAGTGTCTTTTAATATTCAATAAAATACTATGGGTCCGTTTGGATTGTAAGTTATTTGAGATATTTTTTAGATTACTTTTTAAGATTGCGTAAATATGAAATAAGCGTTTGGATAGTAAGTAAATCGTGTAAATTAGCGTTTGGACAGGTGCTCATTGTTGAATTTAAGCAGGTGACTTTGACTTTGAAAAATTTGACTTTGACTTCGAAAATTTTGACTTTATACTACGTTTACGCTAAACCAATTGCATACTTAATACACAAACGGTACAGATTAATTTAGAAGTTGGAAATCGAGGGCATTTTAAGTACACTCTACACATGGGAAAATAAATTGCCTGGACAATTACAATCCTTTGTAATGCGATGAACACCTAACGGCGGCGTCGCCCCCGTGCTGCGTACATTTGAGTCGCTATGTAGTCTCGTTTAGCTTTCCATTCCGCCAGCTCTGCAGGAGATACGTTTAATGCGAACGGCTGAGGTACTAGCCCGCCTATTTCTGGCTCTTCATTTAAGTGCACGTCTTCTGATTCAAACCGTTGAAAATGGGCATCTTCTGGTTGGTGCATTCTTAAAAAGTTGTGCAACGCACAACAAGCAATGACTATACTGATTTGAGTGCTCATATAGAAATTATCTATCGGACCCTTTAACCATTTGAATCTTTTCTTAAGCACACCAAATATGCGCTCAATGACATTGCGAAGTTGCGAATGTCGAGTATTGAACAAGGCCTTTGCCGGAGATTCGGACCCCACGTTCTTATACGGGGGCATGAAACCTGGAGCATTCTTGTATGCCGCATCAACTAAGTAGTACTGCCCTAATTGACAAAGTTATTCTAATTAATAAACGCGATAAAAAATAGGAGTTGTGGTAATAAAGCGTAGCACATGCTTGACTTGAAATATTGGACCCATCACTTACCAGGTTGCGGCAGTGAAAAATGGGACGGATATGCTAATGCTGACTCCAACACTCGCGCATCGTGTGCACTTCCCTCCCATCCAGCATACACATAGATGAAGCGCATGTCATGATCACAAACTGCCAGAACATTCTGTGATTGCCACCCGTGCCGATTTGTATATGCCATTTGCTCGCCTGTCGGAGGACAAGCTGAGATGTGGGTGCCATCCATCGCTCCCACGGCATCCTAATATGTGTAAAAAATATATATAATCAACTTTCTAGAATCGTCTTACTACATCAAGCCAAAAATCACTTATGCTTTCCACATTACCTTGAACCATGGATAAAAATTAGTTGAGTTTGCAATTCGTGGATGAACTGCAGTCTGGTCACCCGGTCGTATTATTTCAGTTGCAAATAGACACAGGCCTCGGAGCACCTTTTTTATATTTCGATTAATCGTCTCGATGGATCGATCAAAAATAGTACCCAACACACAGTGCGTATGCTTGTGGCTGACCAACATTAAAGTCATAGCAAGCGCCTCCTGTATGGGCACGCGCTGTTGGTAATTGTGTGGAACGTACTGTCTCTCGACAAGGATATTGGACAATAGCAAGAAATTATCAACCGTGATACGCATGTTATCTATTGAGCGTCTATGATGACCGTAGAGTACGCGTTCTACCCACTGCCTATCTGTGAAGGAACCATCATGTTGCGGAAGTGGTTGATTATTATCCACGTGTGCAAGTGACGGATGCATTAACATTAACGAGGCACTGATAAGAAGTAAGGCCTCATCTTCCTCGTCTTGCCTCATGCGATTTGCATTGCGTCCTCTAGCACCACGGCGGTTGTTCCAGGCCATGATAATTGAGTATATATCTGTATATATGTTTACATAAGCGTGTTCGTATGTGTATAACCAATTTCATAAATGTGTTAATACACGTGTTAATGGAAATAAATTAAATATCGGGAATCTAGACATAAAATGGCTTTAAATAAGTATGTAATTGGTCAGACATGTCCCGTTAGAGTCTTCATCATCCTCTCAAACCAATTAAGAGAACTAGAGTAGCTTTATGGTGTATAAATTAGTAGTATGACTTTTAAATAGAATACTTAGCAATATGACTTTTATAGCACGTATTTGGCAATATCACTTCTAATATAATATAAATATATTTATAAATGTATAAATATATATAATTATAAATGAATATTATATAAATGTATAAATTAATATATTTGTGATTTATAATTTATATATTTTTATATAAATATACATTTATGGATTTATAATACATTTATGCATTTAAAAGTTGGATTCGTACTACCACAAAAAGGTCTATCTCATTATCCAGCCATAGCTATAACTTCTAACTGACACTTTTTGAATCGTAATACCTCAAATAACTGCCACTTTGTTCTGATATCACTTTGAACATGAAAATATGAATCACTTTTACACGATACACGTACAATGCATTAACAGAGAGTATAAACGATTCCCATACAAGAACTAAATAACCACAGAAATGAATTTAGATTGCACTATTACAAAGAGACCTCTACTACTTACCTCACTTCCACTGGCACACCACGTACAGAACGTTTTGCCACACTCTCTGCCCACACAGAGAAGCACGTACACAATCAACTGTAACGCTACTTTGGGAGAAGAAATTGCCGGCTATTCGTCTTGGTAAGGTGCCTCGAACTTTTCGTTCTTGTGATTTTAGGAGTAGCGAGGTATTCTGCAAGTTCTTAAGGTAGTATGATATATTTATTGGGGTGGATGGCTGATCTGCATTGCGATGCATTTGGGTTTTCGTACTACGATAAGAACTTCCACCCACAAGTTGCCACTTTATGGTGGTTAAGGCCTTGGGATGCAGATTAGCACATGCATTTCTGCAATTTGTGGCCCCTATAGTACTCTGTATTTATGTGCTACTGCATACCTGCAGAGTAATTTCAAATCCATCCTGAATATTTGCAAGTGGAAACATACAAGTCCATCACACTTCTACTTTTCAGACTTCTGTGGACGAGCAAAAGCAAAAATCACTAGCATACAAAACCTATCTCCATGCTTGGTAGGGCGCCTGGCGGTAGGGAGCCTGGCCCCATGGACTAATTATTTCAGCCTGGCCCCAAGGTCCGAATTATTTCACCACGCTCAAGCATTACATTTTACACTTGAACTGCCTCTCTGTGGGTATAAAAACTGCAAAGGGCAGTAGGCATTAGTGGCGTAGGGAAATAGGCACAGCAACAAAGCTGAAGCATAGTGGAAGTTGATCCTTAGTGGTAACCTCGTTGCTTTAGCACGTTTGGAATTTGTAAAGCATCTAAACATTTTGAAGGCCCACCAAATAACAAAGTGCATTTGCAAGATCTAATTTCTGCTTTGTTCTTTGAAGTCCCCTGTCAAAGTGACTGTTGTGAGTTATGCTTGAGAGCGAAGCAAATAACAAAATGGCGTGGTATTTTTTTGTTTTGGATCAAGTTTCTCATATTTCGATTTCAAACCAAAAAGTGCAGTGACCAATAAAAAGTTGTCATTATTTGATGAATTAACTAATTAATCCTTCATGTTTTATTTAATTCATCAAATTTGCATTCCAAAACTGACAATTACAACATATATATGTAGTTTTTATATTCAATTCATATTTTATTGATTACATAACAAATAGAACCGTCCCATACATCATGACTCAAAGAAGATAGGTACTGAAACAAAAATATGAGATGAATGAAGAGCTTATGTCCTGTACTGCACCCTAAAATATATAAACCAAAAACCAGAGGAAACACAACAAACATCTGACATAAAAATATAACCAAATGCGGTTTACTTATAAATAGCTGTAAAAATAATCTGAAATTGTAACCACGATACAAATCCCCATCATGACTCTCAAAGACAATACATATATTTTATTTTCATATGTCCTCAGAAAGCCTACTCTCAAAGTCAACGCGGGGTAGGCTTATACACACCAAAGAGCAAAGAGTAACTGACTCCAACAAGTAAAGAGTAAAAAGTAACTAATTTTCAGCAACAACACATACAATAATAATATAATAGTTCTGGAAATACGTTAGTTTTCAGCTGCCCACACAACTCAAGCCAAGCCTTTCTCTTTCATCAACTTAAGGATATAGCCGTACTGGTCAGTTGCAGAAGCCCGAAGGAATATAACGCGCTCACCCTCTTTTTCATAATTCGCATAATGACAGTTAGCGTGTATTCTCCATTCTGGCGGAATGTCCATTGTGTTGATCACATCCTGGCACTGGATTACGCTATAGAGGGACTCGAACTCCATCCTGCTCCGTCTGTCCTCAAGTACAACGTCGGAGTAATTTCCAATTTTGCTAATAGCATCCTCAAGACCTGTAGATGACCTTGTAGATTTTGACCCTCTAGTTCCCTCCGGTTCACCGCTGGTCCCTAGGCTTGACGCTGACCTTTTACCTCCAACTGCCCCTGGAACTGGCGGCACATAGTACACGTCATCTTCATCCCCTTGGTCGCCCATGTTTGTCGGATTAGGAGCCCTCGAGATAGAGGCTTTACCTTTTCCCTTCCGGCTCCTAGCAGAAGTATTGGCCCTTTCACGGCGAGGTGGTTCCGATGGTACTACTTCGCTTGCCGATTGGGCACGGCTGCCTGTGGCGTGTCTTCCAAGCAGTAATGGTGTCAGTCGATCATACCAGTAGCAGGAGTTCTCCTTTTTGAATTCAGCATACGCCGCATTAGACTAATGAAATGCAAATCTGTAGTCAGCACAAAGGAAAGAGGCGTGCAATACTACTTAACTACTGAAATAGGTAGTTCGTACATGCAATAGATGTGCATTTCAGTTAATATACGAGTTGGCAAAATTTAACCAGCAAATGTGTTGATTAAAGCCACTACCAGTATCCATTTCGTACTATTGTCACAAGATAATAAAAGACTAAAACTAATTGTAAGGCAGCAAAGTGAACACATATGAACAATATGGCTAGTGAACCATTCATACAATTGAGAAACACATATTTCAAGCCACAAATGATGGAAGAATGGACAGCAGTATTCAGTCCAAAGTAGTGGTCTCAAAACAAGTAGTAGTTGGAAATTCTTAGACAAGTAGTAGCAGCCAGCACCTACAGTAGTGTATGGTAGCTTGATTTTATCACAGTTAATACCAACTACTTGGTGAGCCTAGTTATGCTTGATAGCATATAGTTTTCACACTTTTCAGTTATGCCCCATCTGTCTCTCAAGTTCATGCAGTTCTAGTGCTCTAAAGGAGACAGTCAAACAGAAATCCAAATTTCAGCAAGCCAATATCACCAAGACACATCTACTTAAGCATCGAATCAGCTAATAGCAAAAACTATCCTTACCAAGACTAGTACTATCCGCCAAAAGTAAAATAACAAATAGCAGTAGTAGCAGCAATGGGAATTCGAAACAGTGCAACTATTAACAAAATTCCAGAAATGGGAATTCCTCTATTGCAGCACTAGGCATTCAATTCGCATCGTAAGAAAGTAAATTAACAAATAAAGGCAGCTACAAGTCCATACCTGGACCAAGTTTTCCCAATGTTCATCATCAGCAGTAAAGCAGTAGGTGTCCTCACTCCACCCAACCCCGGTCTCTGCTTTTGATGATATCCCACGCAGATTACAGAATAGGTCCCATTTCTTCTTGATGTGATAGAATCTGGTCTGCAGCTGTTGGCCAGTGACGGTCAAGCTTCCATTACTCACCAAATGTGCTGCCAACTGGTCGTAGTTTGTCTCTAGCGATTTCCTGTTGTCCCACCAGTTATTTTCCCTAAAACTAACATAGGCTATGAGGAAAGCTTCATCCATTGCATCGGTCCATTGAATCCTGGAGGCCATTTGCTGAAAAACGTGGGAAAAAAAACTGTATTTCAGAAACGGATATGTCTACAATACTTTAAAGTGCTTTGGAAAAAATAAAGCGACAAATAATAAGTGGGATAAATCAGGTCAAGCTTTCTGCATTGCGAATTGACTTGCCTCAATGTAGGTGGACAGGCAGTCGATGTAGTTGTTAGAGGCTGTTGACGAATGGGAGGAGCAATCGGAAGTACAGCTAACAGGTGAGGCTACAAAATAGGATACATAACTGGTAAGACTAAATCAATTAAGAGCGAAATTTACTCGACCATACATATGAACATGGAAGAAGGACATACAATCGCAAGAAGGCTTCTTCCTCTTGTCAGCGGTCATAACCGAAGAGCTAACAGCGGCACACAAATAAGGTGGCAGCAGCTGGACATATATAAATTATTATTCATCAGATACCCAAAGTCAATAGTTTACAATTTTCGTTGTTGTTCAGATTAACAACGGCAGCCAAAACATTAATGATAGGAACTTTTTTAAGATAAACATCTACTTGTTTTTTAGACCCTGACCTACTTGCTGAGGTAATCTCTCTTAAGGATAATAATTCTTGTATTTAAATGTTTTTTGTTCTGTTTGCCTGTTTCTCTGATTACCTAGACATTGCATAGGTTACAATTAGCTTCCAATGCATATAGAATGTTGTGAGGCTTTACAAAAGTTCCATTATAAAGTTAACAAATAGTTGCATTAATAGATGGTTAGAATCCTGCTAACTCATATGATATCTTGAGATTGCCTTCATATTTTGGCAGATTGAGCTGTCCCAGACTACTTAAACCAATGTGTCACTGCTTCCTCTTGAAGAATTAGCGATTGACATGCTTCATATTATAATCAACAACAATTACAATAAGTTTGTACTTCAGAAGTCTCCGTATTTAGTATATATAACTGGGGGATCTTTTTTTCCTTCAAATTTTTGTTTGTGCTATGTGTGTTGTAGTTGTTTTCTCTGTATTTTTGTTTTGTGAGTTCAATATTTTCTACTCTTCTGTCAATCTATAGTTCACTTGAATCACTAAATCTATTTCATAGCACTAAATCTATTTCATGGACATCCTTAAATTACGAGGAACCTGACCTCCTTCCTTTAATATGGTGGTTAATAGAGTTATACCCCAATCTAAAAATTTATTTTACCCATGGCATTTATGCGCAATATTTATTTTTTGAGTCTCTAATCTTTAGCCTTAATTTAAAAGTTAAGCTGTTAAACATTCATATCACTCCCACGCAGAGTATTTTGGCACTTTTTCTGTTTGAGGCATGACAATTAATCAGAAGTAGTTGGCAGAAAATCGAAGGAACATACCTGCCGGAGAGCATGCCGGAATCACCGCTGGAGTGTGGCAAGTACAAATCGCCGCTGGAGTGTTGCAATTGAGAAGCTGAATGAAAGCCCACCACCTTCTTAAACGCAAGCAATTCAAATTGGGAAGTTGATGTTCGCCAACAATTGGAAAGAGTTTGATGTTCGCCGACAATTCAAATACCTGGCTGGATGTGGTCGGAGTTTGATGACCGTTCTGAGCTAGATGAAAATGGGCAAAATATGGGAGAGGAAAGGAACACGTGAAGCCTGTCGGTTCTTTGAGGAGTAAATGGCTTTACTCTGCCACCAACGGTTACTTTTACTTCACATTTGGAAAGAGTGCGGGCCCTCGTATTATTTGTTGTGTAGTAAGTATTTTGTACAAAAGGCTGCTGACATCCAGGAATCCAATGTGGGTCAAATTGGGGAATGATTATTTTATCCAGTCCAAACAATTATTTTCTAAAAGGTTAAATTGCAAACTAAATCTACTGTCCAAACAGTGCCTATATTTAGATAAACAAGTATAGATTTGGCATGCTTATCAATTACCTTTAGGAGAGCTAAATATAATTGGTTAAAGGATTTAGCAATATCTCAGACACTGTAATTTTGAAAGTTACAAATATATTTAAAACTTTTTGTTACTTACCAATATTGGTGTGTGTGTCTAAAATTTAGGGGTAAAAATACTAGACATCGTTTGGGTTGAAGAAAATGAAGGGAAAGGATACTGTGGAAAAGAAAAGAAAGAATTGTGGAGAAAAGCAATTTTTCATCCATTTTGTTTAAATTGAAGATGGAACAAAAAGAAAGAATTGAAGTTTTGTTTATTTTGAGGAAGGAAAAGAAAGGAAGAGAAAAGACAAGTATCAATTAAGTCAAAAGATGAGAAAAATCTTTTTTTTTTAATTATATTATTTAATTAGATACGATTACCTTTCCCTCCATTTCTGCCTACTTCTAGATGAAAATCATTACTTAACAAAATAAATATATCATTTCCCTATCTATCTGGCCTTTCCATTCTAAAATTTTAATTCAAATAAAAAAATCAATCCCCTCAATCCAAGTAGCGCCTAAATGTTAAGATAATACGATAGACTTATAATGGATTGAAAAAAATAAGTGACCAGTAGAGCTGTGTAGAGATGGCAATCGCAGCCACACCGCCCCATGGGGGGCTAATGGGGCGGGAGTTGGGGCCCTCCCCGTTTAGAATATAAATATAAATATATATATGTATATAATTATAAATATAATATTTAATTTAATTAGTTGTAAACTTATAATAATAATATTATTAGTTCTATGTGTTATATAATATATATTAGTATATGTAATATAATTGATATTATCAATTATAGTACTAATTATATATGTCTACTAATAGAAATTATTAATTAGTTATATTAAATTTACTAATACATTTATACTAAATTCCTAATTACATTTAATATAATAGCATTTTTTCCTCAAAAAAAAACTCAAGCACAATAATGAATAAGTGATTGTATTTGTGCCAAAAGTGAAAACTTGACTACTTTAGTTGTTTTTATTTCATCATGTTGGATTGTATTCAAATAACTTTTGTTTGATTGTTTTTATAAGTTTCAATTGTGAAATTACAATAAATAATAATTTGATGATGTGTTGATATTTTAGTACTTGATTATTTGCTAAAATTTAACTATAATAAAATTATATAACAAATTTTTATTAAGGCACCAGTGGGAGGAGCGGGGTGGGCCGGGGCGGGGCGGGGAGAGCGGGCCATAGAGCTGTGTACTTTTAAAGATCACAGTGTCCATAATTTTTCCTTGATTAAAATGGTTAAAGATTAACGATACTTCAATATAAGAGAATGTCTGCATTGAATTTTACTCTTCTAATCTTCTTTCACTGCGAATTATTCAAGTTTATCTTGCCCATGATTTCTTAGATGCGAAGTTTATACATTACGCTCGGCGAAAGCCCAAACAAGGCCCAATTATGTTTGGATCTGATCCTTTTAAATCCCATGGACCACTGATGGGCCGTTTGCTATACTACATATTATCAACTGTTGCCCGATTTGCTTTTGACCGAAAAAAAAGAAAGAAAGAAGAAGATGCATAACGAAGCATACTTTGTTGATTGCACGTGATCCTGCATAAAGAAGAATATTCTAATTTGTCTATAATAACTGGCTTTTTGCACAGCTAGATAATTCCATCACATGCAACCATTGTCTTATGGAAGGTGTAAGATTTTCATGCGGCAAATGATATTGACACTCCAAAAAAAGTTTCAAACACGTCAGTTTTCTTTCTTTGCTTAATAAAATACCACGAAGATTTATAAAATATTCTATGAGACGAAATTGTCTCTTTCTGTATTTACTACTAATTTTCTCTACTTTGTCTCCTCAAGTAAATTAATTCTCCCAACTCTTAAATTAGTATTAAGAGTCTGTTTGGTTGGAAGTAAAATGTTTTCCTTGGGAAAATATTTTTCGTGGAAGTAATTTTCCATGAAAATCATTTCCCTTTCATCATTTTCAGGTGTTTGGTTAGCTTATTGAAAATATTTTCTTACTTCATTTTTCTGGTGTTTGTTTAACTTTTGAAATATTTTCACTTTTATCTCTATCTTTACTTTCTACACATTATAACTACATACTTCTTCCCATGCAAAATAAGAAAATTTATCTCATTGTTTAACTTTAAAAAATCTTGGAGAAAGGTATATATGAATAAAAAATATCTCCTTAAGCAAATAAATAAATTGCTGGCCATTTAGTGTCAAATATCAATCACATGCAATGCTTATTGTGACATCTATCTTGCACTCTCACTGCTGAAAGTTTCTCTAGAAAAGAATGTCCCTATTATACATAATTAATTACCAGTATAGGATGAGCAGGATGAGGTTTTTTTTTTATTTTGAATATACTAGGGGGAGGGTTGGGTGGTACGGGGGAGGGAGTGTAAGGAAGAGGTCTTGGGTTCAAGTCTTCCTGTTTACACTAAAAAAAAAAAAGAACATACTGTAAGATGATTTCAGTAAGTTTGGAACATACTACAGGCAAGATGCATGCATTTCGGAAAACAACTTCAGGAAGTTGGGAAGGGAAGTTGTTTTCCATAAGATGAGTGAAAATATTTTACATAGGAAAATGTTTTCAGTAACTTTTGTGCAACCAAACACGAGAAATTAGGAAAATATTTTCCTGAAAAACATTTTCACCCGAAACAAATGGACCCTAAATTATTGTACAACTACTAATGGAGGGAATTCCTCGTAGCAACGATTTTAAAATTGCCGCGTCAGCATGTATTGTTCAACAGTTATTGAATAAAATACTAGATTTTGTAGTTTGGAGTTGTCTTTTAGGTTTGGGTTTGCTCAACACTTTAATCTATGTTGCACTTTGGATTTTCTTTTTTTAGAAAACCAAAATTAAGACTTTGTAATTGAAAGTGTAGAGATCTCCATAAAAGTAATACAAATTGGTCATTAAACTATGTTTTGAAGGTAAGTTTGACATTTAAATTGTTAGATAATTTAGGTTATAGGTGTTTATATCATTTTTAATAGTAATGAGTAAAGATGGGATGCCAAAATTTTTTTTTGAAGTGCCAATATCATTGGCCTTTCCATATAAAGCTGAATTGATATACTATACTTCAACTTTTTAAGTGCCAATAATATTGGACTTCCATTAGTAGTCAATTCTGCTTTTGGAAATATACTCCCTCGAATGCACTTTATGCCTGTGAATTTTGATGATTGCAGATAGGAATTGGTTGCCAATTGAAAGGTAGACAGTGATGGCGATTAAGAAGGATAAAATGGTTCAAAAATTACAATGTGTTATTCTGCTCTTTCGTCCAATCTTAAAACTCAAGTGGATTAGAATAGATGAAGGAAAGCAACGTATTTGCTGTGTCAATTAATTGAGATGCTAAGAAAGCAAAGTAAGAAGCTAGTCCCATGTGTATGAAGCCCAAGGGCTGTGTACGAGCTGAGACTCTGTAATGTGATTTGATCCATTCACCTCCTAAGGGGAGGGAGCGAATCGGGACTAAATCCTCCGGTATATCTCTGACAATCAAGTTAGGTCAAGTATAACAAATTGGAAAATTAAGAATTAATTTGAATAAGATAGCTCTTAAATAAAACTTGGTGAGAGTATTTATACGGGACCACGGGCAGGAACGGTTCCACCAAATTGGTGAGAGTATTCATACGGGACCACGGGCAGGAACAGTCTTGACAGTTATGTGCATTTTGCACAGCGCGAAATTGTTTGCAAATGGTATAATTTACTTTCAATAACGTATAACTTTAGAATAAAATTTTATAGGTTCCACACATGTTGTTAAAATCGAAATACAAGATAAAATCTAAACCGTAAAAATTTTTTTGGCCAAATCTTGGCCATGAACTGCTCAGGACGGCCCTTCTGATGACCGTCCCTGTCCCATTTCCATTTATACAGGAGAGACGATGAACTGTGATTGATGGACCACTTGCTCTGAGATTCTGATAAAGCACGTGATTCAAAACTTGTTCCAATCAATCTTTTCTTCCCGCAACCAAAGTAGGGGAATAAGGAACAGCTGAAGCTAGAATTTTCTGTACTTTTTTAACGTCAAATTGTAATCTTATTGATCATTAAGGAAACTTAGGTTGTGTTTGGATTGCATTTTCCATGATTTTTCATGGAAAAATTACTGTAGCGATTTGATGTATGTGAGGAAAAAAGTTAATAGGGAAATGTGATCACGGAAAACGACGTAATTTTCCGACGAAAAACCACAATCCAAACAAAGCCTTAGCATGCAGAAAAACTGTAAAACAAGTGCTCATCCAGCACAAAATGGTCAAAGAATGCTAAAAGAAAACTTATTTGCTGAGAAATTTAAGTTCCAGACTAGTTCCCAATTTTCTCTTATGCTTGGCATGTTCCTCCAATAGGCAACATTGCTTCTAATCACTTTAATTAATGACTCGCATGCTTATTATCTCAACAGACTTTCATTTTTTCTTTCCTGCCTAACTTCCTTATAGCTTTCTCAACAAATTGCAAAAGGGATCCTTCCCCAGAGGTTCATCTAGCAATGCTACTTCCTCCTTCCATCCATAGACATCTCTAAATACTAAATACGGGCCTGCCTATAACCCCTGTAGCCTGTAAGCACCACCGCCTATTAGTAATTACACCTCTACTAAGTGTTGGGATCCTAATCCTATTGGTTTAGACGTTAATTAGTAAGCAAAACTGGAACTAAAGGCCAAATGGAT